CTTTGTTGACCGTCCAATACGAAAAGCATAGCAATGATGTGCTGCCCAGGCTTGAATTGAAGTATATAGCTCTTCTTTAGAGCTATATATAGCCTCTGGAGGCAGTGGCATAGACGTATGAGGGGTGGCATCTGCTGACGCTGGCTCAAGTGGTTGCTCAGGTGAATGTAAGGGCAGTGGCGACAGCGAGAGTTGAACGTCCATTTTCGCTATGTAGCTATGTCAGGCGTGCATTGATTACAGTCCAAAGTACAGTGCTGGTAGATGTAAATGCGACGCGCGCGCATTTCGGTGGTGGGGGGGCGTGAAAACCCGCGCTTAGTCAGCTCTAAACTGACGCCGGGGCGTCAGTGTATTGGGACTCTAGTAGGGTGCGGCTGCTTAGTAAGCCATAGTAGGATATATATCCTGCTCTACTACTAGTATGTTCCTATATTAACACCACTATAATATCTACTATATCGTTAGCTATACCATTATAAGCTCTTTTACTCTTGTCCCACCCACATGCCCCTCGCGAATAGCTCGCCGAGTTTTAGAGGGGAACTGTGAGGGTTGGAACCCATGATGGAGGCTCGGGCCATACCCTCGCTAAGCACTGACCAAAGTCCTCGTTGAGCACTGACCAAAGTCCCTGCTTAGCACTGGCCATTACCCCACTTCCAAACAGGTTTCTACTTTTCCACACTTTCTTGTTTTGTTCTTCTGACATCATGTATTCGTCATTCAAGTTTCTTGCAAGTTTCTTGGAATATTCAGGAAGCTCTTCCTCTCTATATATAGAGGAAGAGGTCGCATGTATGTAGTCTTCACGCACTTCTTAATTGAATATTCGAAACCACACCTTTGAGCTATTCGAGGTCTGGCCTCTCACAAGAACTTTATGTGTTGTCTGGCTCTTGATTAGCGCGCCCTGCTTTCTTTATACTTTGTATTCCACCAGATAGAGCCTTTTAATTGGTCTATAATGTGGTCGAAGTCCGAGAACTTGGTCGAAGTCCGAGAACTTGGCGTTAAATTAGTTAAACTGCCCCCGCAAGGGGTGCGAAGCTTCAAGTGCTTATACTTCGCTTTCCACTTCTCTATATATGGGCGAATTATCAACACTTGAAGCTAACCAGCAAATACAAAAGCAAAACCAACAATAAGTCTCATTATGATGTGTGACGACTGACGAATGATCAATAAATGTGCGATTTAATGCCGCTCTCCATCCTCGTAGGTAGCGTGTCTTACACGTGTAGGCTAGGATGTCCTAGAAACCGGAAGCTCTTCGAGTATGTATGGATGTCAAGGTACAGAAGTTTCGAAGATTCCGTGAGAAAGAAGTTGATTTGAAATGTGATTTTGCTACCATTATACTAATAGTGTCCCGAAGGACGTCTAGAATTTACTTAATAGTATATATAACTACTCCCCTATTCTAATGTCCAGACTCCTACTACTCCCTATTATAAGATAA